CGGAAGCCCAGCGCTGCTCCTGCTCACTGCAGGGAGTATTTTTAGACATTTGTCATGAAGTTGTGATAAGATCCATTAGGAGGAACTTGCTTTGCATACTGGAGGCACACACAGTACATTCTTTTGGTATTACGCATTCTAAGCAGAAAAACTCCCAATTTACCAGAGAAACCCTTTTCTTCTCCATCTTCTTTGCCTCCACAATTTTCCATAAAACTTATTGATGTAATACATATGACTAAAAATCTAGCAATAAGCCAGACACTTTAAATGAGATTTTAGAAAATTCTAATTCTAGGAAAAACTCGGTAAATTTTTAAAATTGTATTTATTTATTCCATACTGTATTTATCCCATACAGAGAAAGACTGAGATGCAGAGAGAGACGGCAGCCCCAACAGGCTACTACTGATGCCACAATCCACCCCCAGCCTCAACTAGATCAAGGGCACAAACATATTGGTATGTTCAGGGAGGTCCCTGGATCCAAACTAGCAACTTTCCCATGTGGATCTGCCTTCCCTTTTACAGCTATGCCGTGATATGGCCTGAGAAACTCCGTAATTTAACATAAAACATTCAACCATCTAAAATCTACATGAAGGAATAGATAAGAGAGGGCAGAGAAAGAAAATCAAAAAGCACAAGATCACAACAGAGTCTGACAGACCCCTCAATGAATTAATATCACATATTAGACATGATGTTGGACCAGAAGACTTTTTTAAAGAATTACTTTATTTTATTTATTATTATTACTCTTTAATTTGACCAGAGATAGAGAAAGTGAGAAAGCAAGCTGCCAGGTCTGGGACTCAAACCATGGTTGGCCAGGTGGGAGTCCAGCACCTTAATCACCATGCTATCTGCTGGCCCCTAGAAAACTTCTAATGTCCCAAAAGAATTTCATATCCTTTACCTAAATGAGAGCACAGAATTTAAGATACCTTCTGAGGGTAGCCTTGGAAAGTATTTGGGGAAACCGGTATTTTAATTAAAAATCATTTAAGCACACATTCAAAAGAGTACACTTTAATACACTTCAAGGTCAGATGCATCCTTTGATATACTTCAAGGTTAAATACAAATAGTAATCTGCTCTCTTTAAATAAATTAAACCTACTCTTTTAAAAACATGGGAAGAAAAGGGGAAAGAACAACACTACAGATCCCAGCTGAGTCCTCTCTCTTCCCAGGCCTTCTTTTCTTCCTGCCTGTGTGCAGCAGTAAAGACGTGCAAATGCTCTTTGCTTCCCACCAGGGCTCTCTGAGGCTGACTGTGCAAAGTACCTGCCTGCTCTAGGCTCCCAGCAGGTAGAGCACCTGCAGGGCTAACTGAGCTGCAAGCAATCTCACCCCACCTTCCTCTTGCCTGCCAGGAATCTACAGTAAACAGCCCTGAGAATAACCTACAGGAAGTGGTTTAACACAGAGCTACAGACAGGGACAGATTAGAGGATAGTCAAGGCAAAAAGCAAGAAAGTATAAACAGCCATGACCAGAAAGAAAGGAGTCAATGATTTGGTGCTTTTTTTTTGTTATTGTTGATTTGATTTCTTTTTAGGTTTTTGCCATAGGGCACTTGCAGTCCCCAGACGGAGACAGAGAGATGGGCAAGCAGTTATCCCTTCTTCTCCAATCATGCACACAAGCACATGTGCCTGACACGTTTTTCAAGCCAACAAGTCCAGGACTCAAACCACGGAGTTGGCCATGTGGGTTCTAGCGCCTTAACTTCCATGTCACCAGCTGCCCTTGACCGTTTGTTTTTTAACACCTCCTAAAAAAGTAGGACATTTCTCTCTTATTTCCAATAGATGTACCAATGATTCTTGACAAAATTTCTGTATGTGAAATCTTTTTTTTTTTTTTTAAGAGATTTTTGCTGTAGGACATGTGTGCTCACTGGAGAGAAAGAGACAGACAGAGCATAAGGAATCAACCCCCCCAGGAGGATAGCTATGCCACAATCCCTTTTCCTCCATCCTCCTCTTGGGATCTTGGGCGCGCACACACACACACCTGGTGTGAGGTTTAAGCTGCCAGGTCTAGGTCTTGAACTGTGGTCGACGATGTGAGAGTCCAGCCATCTGCTGGTCCCTCTACATATGAAATTTTAAAATTGTAAATGGACTATTATGCTTTTGAATTTTTAATGTTAAAAAATAATTAGGCCACTACATTGATTTTCAGAGTTGAATTGGCTTAAATTTCATTCTCAATATAAGAATTTTCACTTAAAATTAGAACGTTTTATTTTTTAATTCTCTTATCCCCAAAATACCATCCGTAAATTGCTGTGATCATCAATTTGGGACTATAAGCTGGTGGGTAGCAACAGAATTTTAATACACTAATCATCAAAAAAGTCAGAAAAAAGTTTTATCAACCTTAGGCACCTCTTCTCATTTTTTCCCCTTCCTTCTTGGTTGTAAGTACCAAGACTTAATTTTCACACTCTTTAAATAAGACCTGGGGCCAGTAGGTAGCACAGGAGTAAAGTGTGATGCTCTACAAGGCTAATTAAAATGAAAAAGTTCTGGGTTTGCATCCAGAGACCTCCCTGAGTCCACCAGTCACCAGCCTGCCATGACACAGGACTGAAATGGGGAACAGACTGTGGCATAAACACCAGGTTGTGGTGCTGTACCTCTGTCTCTTCTTTTCTTTCTCTCTCACTTGCTCATGGAAGAAATAAAAAATTAAAACAAAACAAAACAAAAGTTTTGAAAGTTTGGAAGCAATCCACCAGGTCCAGGATTCAAACTGCTATCGGCCATGTGGGAGTCCAGCATCCTTAACCACCACACCACTTGCCAGCCCTAATTAATTAATTTTTGAAAAACAAATTCATTGCACATTGTATTTATGTAAATTTTAGATCAGAAGAAAAACAATAAATAATTACTGAGTTCTAGTTAAAATATTCACATTCAATATTTAAGACAAGTGTAATGTATTCTAAAATGCTTCAAAATATAAGATGGGGGAACTAGCAGTTAGCGTAATGGCTATGTCGCTGGACTCCCATGTAGTCGACCACGGTTCGTGTCCCGGACCCGGTGGCTTAAAAAACTCACGCCGGGCGCGTGTGCGTGCGTGCCCAAGATCCCGAGAGGAGAATGGAGGAGAAGGGATTGCGGCGTGACCATCCCCCCTGGGGAGGTGATTTCTCGCTTTCTGTCTCTATGTCTCCCTCTGTCTGTCTGGCGAGCGCACGCGCCCTACAGTGAAAATCTCTCCAAAAAAAAAAAATATATATAAGATGGGGGTACCACTGGGTGGCATGGTGGTTAAGGTGTTAGACACTCCCTCAAGGGTGACCACGGTTTGAGTCCCAGACCTGGTGGCTTGCTTTCTCACTTTCTCTTTCTCTCTGTGTGTATCTCTCTCTGGTCAAAGTAAACAAAAAAATAAAAAGAAAAAAGAAAAAAAAAGAAAAAAAGAAAAAATATATGAATAAATAAAATTAAAATAAATCATTTAAAATAAATAAATAAAAATAAGATAGATAGGGCCAGCAGGTGGCATGGTGGTTAAGGCAGGGTTTAATCGCACTGGTCAACAGCATAGTTCAAATCCCAGACCCAGCAGCCTGAAAATCACTACAGACATGTGTGCATGCATGCCCAAAATCCTAAGAGGGGTATGGACCAGAGCAAAACAAATGGCAGCCTGGTCATCCCCAAAGGGGGGTGATATCTCACCTTCTCTCTCTCTCTCTCTCCCTCCCTCCCTCCCTCCCTCCCTCCCTCTCTCCCTCTCTATCTTTGTCTCCCTCTGGTGAGCACGTGTGCCCTATAATAGGAACTAAAGAAAAAAATTGAAAATAATAATAAGATGGACACTAATGCAGAGAGAAGAAGAATGCATTATGTGATTAAAACAAGCGTATTAAAATGTTATGATGAAACAAGGCGGTGGTGCATGGATGTTTACTGTAAAATCATCTCAAGCTGCTAATGTTTCTGGTTTTTCATAATAAAAATGCTAGGAAAAGTGTTTAGAAATATAGAAGTAACTAGCAGTAAATAATCAACGTACACAACCCCTACTAAGTGAGTACAGATTCACAATCAGAACTCCCAAATTTTTCACGCTGATGTTGGAAGCACAGAAATATTTCAAGAAACTGTATGTGAGCTTTCAATCTAGTCAAGTCTGAATAGTTACAGACCGTTGGTGACAAAGGGCTGACGCTGTCTGGTAGCCATAGGTATAATGCATGCATTCAGATAACTTATTTGACAATAAGCTTGGGGGTTTGAAAGAAGGTTCTTTCTCACATTTTCCTTTTTCCCCCTAAAGAGTTATTTATTTAATTTTATTATTATTTTAACTGGGTACAGGGCACATGCACTCACCAGAGAGAAAGAAAGAGAAGGAAAGTGAGAAAGCAAGCCACCAGGTCTGAGATTAGAACTCTTGTCAGTCATTTAGGAGTCTAGCACCTTAACCACTGTGGCACCTTCTGGCCCCATTCTCACTACTGTGTCTCTGTCATACTTGCTCTGTCCTGGCTTAACTTTAATCTTGACAAGACCAGAAGATGTTTACCACCACATTAGGTTGCATGTATCCAATCTATCAAAGTTTAGAGATAATTATAAAAATATTTTTCCTGCTTTCATTGCTGTTGTTGTAATTTGCTAGAGGGCTCATGCACTTGTTGGAGAAAGAGGGAGGGAAAGAAAAGAAAATGATAAAGCACCCCTCCATCGAGCATTGTCATGCCACCACCCCTTCTCCTTCATTCTCCTCTTGGGATTTTGGGTACACGTGCACACTCGTCCGGCATGTTTTTCAAGCCACTGTGTCAGAGACTCTTACTGTGCAGTTAGCCATATGGAATCCAGCCACCTTAACTACCATGCCACCCCCTGGCCCCTGTTTTTCCTTAAGAGAAATATTCTAAATCTTTCAGGAAATGATAAATGAAGAGAAGAAAGAAAATAACTCATAAGCTAAAACAGACTTTTTTTTTCAGAATCTTATATTTCATGTTTCGATATATCAGCTAAGAGACTTTGTAAGTACAGTTTAAGGCTAAATATGGACAGACATGAGGACAGCTTATCACGATACAACACAAGACAGTTAACTGTCTCCTCTCCAGGCTTCTCCAAAAATGAAAGAAAAAAAAGTGAAACTAGCACCATTTCGAGGAAGGAAAATATATAAAAATCAGCCTCTAATTATACTTGTGTCTATGACAATCCACTTTGTAGTAAAATTTTTGCCTAAATAATTCTGGTTCCATGTATCTACTCTTCCCTTTTCCCAGTTTTCTCTTAACGTGCAAACAAACTCACTTTCACGGCCACCTCTCAAGGTGGTATCAGAGAAGTAGCTTGTCAGTGATCGATCCCCGACAGAGACCAAACTTTCAAAGGAATCTTCTCTCTTATGGTTTCCTGGAGGACTCCAGATATCTCCGTAGCCACTGTCTCTGCCACTTCTTTTCAGGCAGCTGGGATCTTCGAGTGCCTAAAGAGAACATTTTTAAAAGAACAGCATAAACTTCCAAAAGTGTAATTGTTTACAAGCCTAAGTTGGGCTTCATTTGATAGGTGAGGCAATGAGATTTACCTGTTGAACATAAGAAAATTGCTGATAAAAATTAAAAAATAGGGGGTCCAGCATTTTGCATAGTGATTAAGGCACTGGACTCCCAGCTGGCCAACCACAGTTCAAGTCCCAAACCTGGCAGCTTAAAAATCACACATGTGCGTGTGTACCCAGAATCCCAAGAGGAGAATGCAGAAAGGACTGTGGCATGGCCATCCCCGCCAGAGGGTGGTTTCTCACTTTCCCTTTCCCATTCTCTGTCTCTATCTCTCTCTCTCCAGCAAGCGTATGCATCCCATGGCAAAAATCTTTTTAAAAAGAAAAAAAAAAAAATTCAGAAAATAGAGCCAGCAGGTGCCATGGAGGTTAAGGTGCTGGATCCAACATGACGGACTTGCATTGTTAAAGTACCGGACCCAGCAACTTGAAAATCATGATAGGCACATGTGCTTGTGTGCCTAAAATCTCAAGAGGAGGCAGGAGGAGAAGGGATTGCAGCGTGGTCATCTCCTGGGAGGGTGATTTCTCACTTTTCCTCTCTATCCCTGTCTTTCTCTGGCAATTGCACACAAGCTATAGCAAAAACTATTAAACAAACAAAACCGTAACTGTTTACCTAATACAATAAAGAGATATTTAGTATTCAGTGTAACAATCCAGACATATTATTTAGTAAAGTAGCACAGTCTATTGTAAAATAAGGAAAGGGGCCAGCCCCACAGACCAACAGTAAGCATTGTGCAGATGAAGCCTTACCCACGCAGTTGACCAGCACTGGTGGCTTGAAAAACATGGAAACTAACTGCACAGGGACTTGAAGAGAAAAGGATTGCAGTATAACCGAGCTTCATGGGAAGTTCGTTCGTTCTCTCTCTCTCTCTCTCTCTCTCTCTCTCTCTCTCTCTCTTTCTTGCCCACATGTGTGTGTATGCATACAAACTGCACCTTCTAGCATAAAAACTAAAAAAATAAAAATATGAAGGACAGGGGCTAGCAGGTGGTATGGTAGTTAAAGGTGCTAGACTCCCATATGGCTGACCATGGTTCAAGTTCTGGACCTGGAAGCTTGCTTTCTTGCTTTCTCTCTCTTTCTCTTTCTCTTTCTCTCTCTCTCTCTCCCTCCCTCCCTCCCGCCAATCCTCCCTCCTTCTCTGTGTGTGTGTGTATGTGTCTTGCTCTCATCAAATTAAAAAATAATAATAATGATAAATAAAATAAAGGAAATAATTCTTTAAAAATCAGGAAAGGAAGGATAAGGATAAACAGTTTAAGAGATGACAACTTAATTAGAATGACATTGAAATGCTGAAACCAATAATTAGTTACAGATATCAGTAATAAACATGAAGCAGGAACCAGCAGTTAGCATAATGGCTATGTCTCTGAACTCTCATATAGTCAACCGTGGTTTGAGTCCTGGACCCAGTGGCTTAAACTCACACCAGATACGTGTGCGTGCATTCCCAAGATCCCAAGAGGAGAATGGAAGAGAAGGGACTGCAGAGTAGCCATCCCCACTGGGGGGTGATTTCTCACTTTCTGCCTCTCTGTCTTTCTGGCAAGCTCATGCACCCTATAACAAAACCTCTACCCCCCCCCAAAAAAAAAAACATGAAGCAGTCAAAAAGACATTTTTTAATTTAGACATCCAAAAGGAGATAAGGCAAGATAATATTCAGCCTATCTCTAGGAAATATTCAGGTGGTTTATAATAAATATAAAACCATAACAGTTGAACTTCTTTACCACCTTTCGAAAAGATAGATTTTATAAAAAAGCAAGGGGCATACACTTTAAAGAATTCACTTATTTTCACTAATCACAGAACCTGGATCTAAGGTATCAGCATTTGGGTTTTCATTTTAATTGAAAGAAGGGAAACATACTTGTTTGCTCTTATATAAAAACTTATTTTCAGACCAGAAGTGGCCCAAAGGTTAAGGCAGCTTGTACAACCTGGATTTGGATTCTGAAAGGTTCCTAGAACCAATGTTCTGATAGATATAGACTGTATAAGTTTGTAAAATATACATAATTTACTCAATTAAGCAATGTAACCAACATTCCTTTATAGAAGTCCATACGGAAAATTTTAATATTTGAATCAGATGGTGCTTATCCGAGTACTTGCTGTACTTGCCTTTCAACTCTTAGTTACGAATATTTTCAACATGTGCAAAAAGCGAAAGAAGAGTTTACAGTGAATAATTAGCATCTATCTCAGGAATACTCTCGACTAATACTGGATCTGCCAATTCATGGATTGTTTGACAAGTGCTTGAAACGCCAATAGGGCCTGGTAGGTTTAAGTGAGATTTCATACACTTCAGATGCCAGACACTCTGGCATTAGAGTTGACATCCTGTCATGAACATGCCAGCACCTGATTTATAGTATTATTTCCAAGCAGATGGGGAAGTAAAGTCTAGTGCTGGTTCCAAAAACATACTTCTGAAAATATAAAAAGATTTAAAATGTTTAAGTAGATCTTTAGATCTAACAGCTCAGTTATGTACCTGGTGAAGTCTTAGAATTCAACACATAGCAAGATGATTTGTGATCTTCTAAATGACGGGCCACCTCGGTTATAAGAGAACTTGAGTGTGACCCAGGTGCCTGGTTTTTGAGGAGGACTTCACCCTGATAAGTCATTAAAATGAGTCACTGTTGATTTATGACTTAGGCATGACAGCCTATGCCAAGTATTCTTCTATATATTTTTTTTTTCTTTAAGTTTTTGCTGTAAGGTACATGTGCCTGCCAGAGAAAGACCAGCAGGAGAGGGTGCTAGTGAGAAAAGCACCCCTCAAGGTGAATGGCCACACCACAATTCCTTCTCCATTCTCCTGTCAGGATTTTGACCACATACACACACACACACACACACACACACACACACACACACGTGCCCAGAGCGCTTTTTAAGTTACGGGGTCCAGGACTCGGACTTCAGTGGCCATGTAGGATCCAGCTGTCTTAAAACACCTTGCTATTGACTGGCCCACCAAGTGTTTTTGGATATCAAAGAGTGATCTAGTTAAATGAGAAAAGCGTAAACACAATGATTTTTTGGGGGGGAGAGGCTTTTGCTATAGGACGCGTGCGTTTACCATAAAGAGAGAGAGAGCCAGAGAGACAGAAAGCAAGAAATCATCCCCCAGAAAGGATGACCACACCACAATCCCTTCTCCTCCATCCTCCTCTCGGCATCTTGGGCACGTAAGTACACGCACCTAGCGTGAGTTTAAGCCACCAGGTCCAGGACTTGAACCGTGGTCGACTACATGGGAGTCCAGCAACATAGCCATTAGGCCAACTGCTGGTTCCAGACAATGATTTTTATTTTAACATCGTAAAGTGGATGCAAAATAGATATATTCACATGTTTTCCATGGCTATCCTCACTTCATAGTAATGGAATAATCAAACCACAATAGTTTTACCTGCCCCAAATTATTTTACCAGCTCTGACTTTGACACAGGTGACAGGAAACAGACTTCAATGAAGTACTCTTAACACAAGCACTACTAGGATTAGTCCACCCAAGGCAAGCTATCATAAAAAAAGACAAAGCCCCACATAGTTTCTAACCAAATGTTTTCTTAGCCAAAATAACTGTAAGGCAAGACTCTTCCTGTGCTCCAAGTCCCCTGCACTTCCTCCACCAGAGCCTCACCTTTCTTCATGGCAGTGACTGATCTGCCATTTGTCTCAGACAACTGTGTTCTGTGACACTGGTCATCTACCCTGAGTGTTTCTCAGCACCTAGTATAATGCATGTGCGTGTTAATGTCTCAACAACTACTTAAATTAATTGATTCAGTGAATGTGAATAGAATGTTATCACTTTACAATTAAAAATAATTATTGTGTTTAAAAAGGATTACCTGAGCCTTCTAAGGTAATTAATCCCATCTCTCTATAATGCATTTGGCTGGGTTCGGGCAAAATAATTTAAAGATCAGGGTAGATGTAAGGTAAGATGATCATTTTCACCCTAGCTTAAAGCTACTATCTTCCAATCATAGTAACTAACCTTTACTGCATCTTTACAATGTGCCAGAGACTAACGATCATGTCATACGGGTACAATATCATCTGATTAATCATTAGGAAAATCCACGCTTTACTATTAATTAAACAATGACATATTGCCTACGTGTATTCTTCTGAGTCCTACAAATTTCCCTGCAGAATTGCCCTCACAGAGAAAGTAGTTTTTTCCATTTGCATCTTTCACATGAAGTTTGGGCAGGACTATGGTCACTACTGCCATTTGGCCTTAAACACTCAGACTCTCACTTCGATTCTAGGATATAAAGGACTGGAGGCACAGATAAAACAAAACATTCTCACTTAACACCTTTATCAAGTTTCACCTAGCAGTCGCCTCTTCAGGAAACAGAGGCAGCATGGTTGGACTAGGAAGACACTGAATTGTGGGCATTACAGATATAGTCACCTGTGGCAAGAACACACAAAGAAAATGAGTAACTTCCATGTATTTAACAGCCCTGCAAGCACATCTCTACTGCAGGTTGAGTCATGATGAATAGAGGAACAATTAAGTGATACAGAGTGTGCACAAAAAGAAACAAATGTGTGCCTCATTAAAAGACCCTGTCTTAAGAGAGAAAGTTCTGGAAGAGACTCCCTTACTCCTTGGTAGGAGCACAGAGAGATAGAAAGTGAGTAACAATCTTCCTACTTGGCCCACTCTAGCATGGAGGAAATACAAAGCCACTGTATTTCTTACAGGGAAGAAGGGAAAAGGAAATGGGAAGAGGAGGGGAAGATGAGAAGACAGTGGAGTTAGACTGGTCATCTCATACAAATGCAGGTTTCCTTACCTTAGTCAAGGCTTGTCCTAAGAGATTTTCAAATGCTTTCAAATTAAGATAGGGACCATTATAGTAGGGATTGCTTTGTGCTTTTCTTCCCAGCCAGTACAATGTTATCAAAACCTTAAAAAAAAAACAAATCCCATGAATAAAATCAGTCTCTTTGGTAGCCAATTGCTAGCTTGAAGGCAGTGAGTGTTGTAATACATGATAGCATACATTACTCTCCCGCGAAAAGGCAGACTTTTTTTTAATGTATGAGGAGCAGCAGGACCACTGAACATCTTCATTATTTTTCCTAAATTTTCCTGTCTCTGAGAAATTTCTCACACCAAAAACCCAAATTCTAAAAGTACTACTATGTATGAAAAAAAAAATGTAAGAAGAAAACACAGATGAAGTTTCTAAAGCAATCAATATTAAAAAAAACCCTATGAACATTTAAAATCGACAACGCTCAGCTCACTTAACAAGGATATTAATATTTTTAAAATAAAGCTGTCACACTTTCAGACATTTTTGTAATCTTATGCAGAATATTAAAGACATTATGAGTCTACATTGAGCAATAACCCAGAGTCCTTGAACACTCAATATTTTTCTTTAAAGTGTTTGGTGACTTTCTGTTTATTCCCCTAAAAATTATGAAAAGTGTTTCTTTACCTTTAATATACTACTAACATATAATGACCAATTTCCTAAATCTAACCTAACCTCTTCTACCATGGAGCCAGAGAATATATGTTTTAATTATGTATTATAATATGTATATTTAAATGTTTTCTAAGTTTGTGACTGGTTAAACTCTAAGCAAAACTTTAATTTTAAAGGATACAGAGTATTATTTTAGATACATTTACTATATCTTACTTACAGAACATGGAAGTAAAAACCACTTATAATACTGCATTAAAATAAATATTTCTTACATTTTTCACTCTCCGATCAGTCTCTTCTTGCCTATGGGGAAAAAAGGAAAATACCTATTAAGTACTATTGGGACCCTTAAATTATAAATTATAGCTAGAAAAAAAGAATCCTATTCTTGTTCTAAGAGTCTATGAATATTAATATCACCTGAAAATGTAGAAATATTAGAGTACATATTACTCATCAGAAGAGTTTTTCCATATTCATTGATTTGATGAAATATAATGGTCAGTTTTTTATAAAAAGCATTGTTCTTTTTCTCTTATTTTTTCATTATAATCTGATATTTAAAACGCAGTTTACATTTTTTGTACTTTCTTTTTTAAATAATATTTAATCCCAGTCAGGAATAAGAAAATCAATGTGGACTCATTACAAGAAAACTGGAAAAAAGATAAAAAAAAAAAAAAAAAAAAAAAAAAAAAAAAAAAAAAAAAAGCTTTGTCCTGAATTTCTTCTCTATCATTTCCAGGGTTTTGCACGCAAAGTCCCTCAAGCAAACTGCTAAGAGCATGGCCCTGCAGATGTGGAACCGTGCAATTCAAAAAACAGCCATGGCGAGATGGCACAAGAATAGCATTTCACTCTGCAATGCTGGAAGCCATAGGGAAGATCGGTGTTCAGTTCCAACACGTGGGGCACAAGCACACATGTGCCTGTGATCCAGGCTGGCTGGCCAGGTTGACAGAGGATGACAGTGTTAAACCCTGTTCAAAGTGCTGGAGTTTTGCTTGTTTGTTGGGTCTCTCTCATTCTCTTTCCCCCTCTCAAGAAATAAACTTAAAATTTTTTAAATAAAATAGCCATAAATCTCTGCCTACATCAATTTTCTCTAAGAATCATGGTTTTATTTTATTTATTTATTTATTTATTTATTTATTTATTTATTTATTTAGAGCAGTTTCTTCCTATAGGGTGCATGAGCATGCCAGAAAGACAGATAGAGACAGAGAGACAAAATGCGAAAAACCACCCCTGCCCCAGGGGGGATGGCCAGGCCGCAATCCCTTCTCCTCCATTCTCCTCTCGGGATCTTGGGCACACATGCACACGTGCCTGGTGTGAGTTTAAGCCACCGGGTCCGAGACTTGAACTGCAGTCGGCTACATGGGAGTTCAGCAACTGGTCCCAGAATCATGGTATTTTTGCTCATTGGTAAATGGGTATGATGTTTACAGTAAAATTTAAAAAGAGGTAGGCATTACCTCAGTGTTGAAGAGGCAACAGTAGGTTATTTAACAAAAAGATAGGTCACTCTAAAAGAACATGCTTTCTGTCACTGGAGAGACACAGGATCAGATGAATTCAGAAGGCCCACAAGGTAGGTTTCTAGTCTAACTCTGAATGGTGTATTTGTAAGATAAAATACACACATACACATGATATCAACATATATACATACATATATGTAAGAAGACATATATACAAAAAGTCATATAAAATAAATATAAAATATGAGAGAAAGATGAAAGGGGAGAATGGTAGTGCACAGAGACAAACATGTACCTGGACTTTCCAAGAATCAACAAGGTGATTATGACCATTCCTTCCCATAGAATAAAAGGAACTAAGAAGAGCATGCACTTCTCACTCACTCCCACAAAAAGCACCTCAACAACGAAACTGTCAAACTCTCACACTACTGGGTGGAAATGTAAATCGGTACAACTACTTAAACTCTTAAGCTACTTGGTAGTATCTAGCTAAATATGTCCATAATCTTTGACATAGTAATTCCATTTCAGTACATACCCAATAAAAAGGAATGCTTATTTAATTTAAAAAATGCTTATGTTTGTTCACCAGAAGTCATTTACAAGAATGTTTATAGCAGCACTATTCATAATGGCAAACACAAAAAGCCAATCATAAGTCTTTTGTAGCAACATGGATAAATTATGGAATATCCACACAATGGCATATTATATAGTAATGGAATGAATAACCTACAACTGCATTCAACTATACAGGGAAAACAGTAAGCCTAAGTAAGCATACTGACTGTATTAGTCCATTTATATTAAGTACAAAAACAGGGGACACAAACACCTGATCCTGGGAGTCAGGAGAAAGGCTACCCATTCTGAGAGAGAACAGCTGAAGTGACTGGAAGAAGGTAGAGGCTTTAGGATGCTGGTAGTTTACACTGTGATCTGGAAGCTGACTCTCTTAACTGTGTTCAGTTTCTAAAATGTCTCTTAAGTTGTACATTCATAACATGTACACTTTCCTATATGCATGTTATACTTCAAAAAAGGGAAACAGACTTCACAGTCCAAGTGCTCAAGCTATTTCTGCTTATCTCTTGAGAAAATAAAAATCATCTTATAGAAGTTGACAACACTTTGAATTAATGAGTAGGTAATATTACTAGAATCTGATAAGAAATAACATTTTATAAATATGGCTATATAGTTCCCTTTTTTAAGTTGTTTTTGTTTGGTGGGTTGCTTTTTGGTTTTGTTTTGTTTTTGCCATAGGGCCCATGCACTCACTGAAGACAGAAGAGAGGGAAAGCAAGAAATCATTCCCCAGGAAAGATGGCCACACTGCAATCCATTCTCCTCCATTCTCTTCTCAGAATTTTGGGCACGTGTACCCATAAAGATTTTCAAGTTACCAGGTCTGGGACTCAAACTGCAATGTGTCATGTGAGATTCCAGCACTTTAACCACCATGCCACCTGCTAGCCCCTATATAACTCCTTTTAAAAGATAAACATATACACCTCAAATATTATAGCCAAAGCACCAAAGAACCATCACTATCCAATGGAAAGCAAGTAGTGGGCAGAAAATCATTCTGCCTTCACTATAATAAACACAGTGGGAATAAAATGGACAAGGGAACACTCTAGAACCCCTGTCCTCCTTTCCATAGCCCTCATCAAAGGTTTCCAATACAACAGGCTCATACGCTTTTTACTATGATAACGTGATCAGTGCAATATGCAGTGTGGCTATTCTGTGATGAATATTCACGATGACAATGACCTTGGCATTATTACCTTTCACCTTTTTTACCTTCCCTTCTAAATATGAGCATTTATAACATGCTCTAGAACACAGTGACACACAGGACAGCCAAATTAGTGTCCTATCACTGAAATGGAATGCCAGGAATTCCGGTAGTCAATGATTTGCTGGAGTAAATAGAGCCCACTGTCTGACACGTAACAAACACAGCCCAAGCTCAGGAGTCAGTAACCAGGCGGCTCCTTTGCCTGCTATGGCCACGGGACACAAACCCAAGGCCTTTAAATAGAACAGATGAGAGGGTTGGGGGGAAGCTGATAACTAGACTCTCTGTGAGCCAGCCAAGTTACTGCACTACTCATGAGAACCAAAAATAAGGCAGCCCTTACTCCAAAGTGGAATGTTTCCCCCATAATAAATCTTTTGATAGTTAACATAGTATGATATCATGTTTCAGGGGTGTGGGCTTTGAAGTCAGATCTGGGTCCCCAGGGCTCTGACTCTGCTTATGTGGGCAATTTGCTTGACTCTCAAAGCTTTAGCTTTCTTCTGGATAGACTGGCGGGTATGCATCCCCTATTTTAATAGATTTAAAAGAAATGTACATATGTACATAGCAAAGGCTTGAGCCTCCTGGTAAAGTAATAATAAGGGAAGTTATCATTACTAGACTGTAACTGTCTGGGCAGGCCAACCTTATCACCACTCCATCCACGAAGGCTTCCTAAGAAGTCATGCAAGGCCAAAATATTCAACATTGCAACTGGCCCATCTGACTCTTTCTCCTTCCTTCTTTAGTTTTGTGTTTAGAACCATCTAATACATATGTTTATTTTGTACTATTCTCTCTTGCCCCAATATCCAAAATAATTTTTATAAGTTTCATTCTCTGCTATATCCTTAAGACAAAGTCTACTGCTTAGCAACCACATGAAAATATTTGTTTAAAAATGCCTAATTCACTGAATCAATGTGGAGGAAACAGGAGCGACTTGAGAGTGCAGTCACTACCATGGGCCTCTTCAACAAGTCCAAGAGTGAAATGAGCCCAGAGAGCTGCAGAAGCAGGAGAAGGAGGAATTTAACATGGGTCCAATCTCTGTGCTCACACAGTCAGTCAAGGACAACACCCAAGTACTCAACTCAACTGCCACAACAAGAAGAAACTCTTGGGCCATGTGAAGGCCTTCGACAGGCACTGCAATATATAAGCACTGGAGAACTTGGAGGAGATGTGGACTGAGGTCCCCTAGAGTGGCAAGGGCATGAAGAAGTCCAAAGCAGTCAACAAGGACCACTACATCTCCAAGATGTTCCTGCATGGGGACTCGGTCATCATGGTCTTGCAGAACCCACTCATTGATGGCAAATAGAGTCTCTTCCCCACTGTCAGAACTCACTCCCTGTGCTGTCAAGACCGGCCCTTTGCGATTGGAATAATCAAACCATGTGTTGTTTTTTGTTTGTTTGTTTAAAAAAGCCTAATATGGGGCCAGCCAGGTGGTGTGGTAGTTAAAACAGCTGGATCCCAGATGGCAGAGTATGTGATTGGAGTCCCAGACCTGACAGCTTAGAAAATATGCCTGGCACATGTGTATGTATGCCCAAAACCCCAAGAGAAAAATGGAGGAGAAGGGATTGTAGTATGGTCATCCCCTCTGGGGAGTAATTTTTGACTTTTCCTTTCTCTTTTCTCTCTCAGTGGAGAGTGCACACACCTTAGATTTAAAACTTTTTTAAAAAGCCTAGTACAGTGCATGACACACAGATGCTCTTAAATCAGTATTTGGTTAAATCTCTTTAACTAGGGCCAGTAGGTGGCATGGTGGTTAAAGCACTAGACTCAACTACAGTTCGAGTCCCGGACCGGGCACCTTCTTTTCTCACTAACTGTCTTTCTTTGTCTGTCTCTGGTGAGCACATGTGCCCTATATTAATTTTAAAATAATAAATAAGATTAAATAAAGGATTTAAAAAAATCTATTTAACTCAGAGAAACAAAAGTTAGCAAGAAAAAGTCTGAAATTTAAAATCTCAGGAGATTCTTAATAAGTA